GTTTAAATTGTTTTTTTTTTTATAGATAAAAAAGTTACACTCATAACATAAACAAACTTTAGCTATTTGGATGGTAGAAAATAGAGAATTCACACCCATGTTGCTATTAAGTGAATTGCATTAATTGTATTTTTTTCATTAATTATTATAAAAAATAAAAATTAATTTCGATTTTCAACTGCTTAATTAAAGCCATATGACTGAAAGTTTAAAAATAAAATTAATTTGTGTGTTTTTCTATACAAATTAATAACAAAATTTTCAATTAATGTATCGTTACCCTTTACCCTAAGTTAGACAAACTCTAAGCAACTAGTTTGGGCACGCGTGTTAGATGAACAACCAATCATATCATTAACTGTTTAAAGTATGTAGTTGTAAAAGAAACCCTTTAAAGGGTAAGAAGGCACCATCACCATGAACTACCAGCTTCGAAGCAATCAAGAAAAAGAGTTGAGAAGGGCCTGTCCAAGGCCTGCTTTTCACCATGTCTGCGCCGAATACCATTCAGGTATCCACACCTCGAGGACACCATCACCATCAGCAGTGACATCTTCTATCATAAAAAACTTGAGAGAAACAACTGGCAGACTCAGAATAAAACTTTATGATTCATCATGGAACAAAAGATTTAACATAACATAATTTTGAAGCATCCATACGAGGAAAAAAAAAAAAAAACACAAACCAAGTGATTCAAAACAGTAACTTAACAAAAAGGAAGCTGATGTGCTAGGCTTTTTAGCAGAGAACAAAAACACCTAAAGCAACCTATGCTGTAGAGCTTGGGAAAACTTTTCTGGAACCTGAACCTGGCTTGTTTCAAGCATCAGCTCTCTCTCTCGAGGGCCTCTGTGAGAAGTACCTTGGCAGTTGGTTTTCCCAAAACATCCCAGAATTCTTGGAAGGGAGATTTTGTGAAGCGAGTTTCCCTCCAGAAGTCAGGTGTAAGGAAGCCATAAGTCTTCAACAAACAATCAAAAGTAGCCTGCAGAAAAAGAATAGAACCAATAAGACGTTGCAATATCCCATCATTGAAGTTATAACAAAATTGCAACAAGAACCATAAGCATGCTTATTAAAAACAAATGAGTTCATTTTGCAACTATTTGCTATCCTCTATCTTGGTATCAATTAGGAGACACCGAGACAGTGAAAACAACCCAGAAAAAATAGAGATACCGACAAGCAAACTCATAATTAAAACAAGTAAATGTGCACACAGTTAAGATAAAAGCAGCTAGTTTTATAGCTGAACAAAACAAAGTAATTTACCACCAGCAAAAACAGAAACTTTAAACATTCAACTAAAGAATGTACCACAATTCGAAACTGTATGATATTCAGGATGCTATATAAACAAACATATCATTTATTGTCAATATCAACTGAATCGAATCACTTTGAATTTGAAAATTTTGAAATCCAAAATCACCTTAATGAAATACATACCCAGATAAATTCCTGATATATAGCTTCAAGATTCCAAAGATATACCAGCAAAATCACAAAGAAATTGCAAATAGAAAGGAGCAATCAGTGATAAGTGTAGGATTAGACCTTGACGAAGTTTCCAAGAGTCTTAGTCGATCCCCTGGAGGAAGTGAAGACATCCTCAATACCAGCAAATTGAAGCACCTTCTTGGGCACTCGAGCAGCAACGATACCAGTTCCTCTGGGAGCAGGCACCATCCTGACTGTGACTGACCCACATTTCCCAGTCACCTTGCACGGCACAGTATGTGGCTTCCCGATCTTGTTCCCCCAATACCCTCTTCTCACTGGGATCACTGACAGCTTCGCCAAGATAATGGCGCCTCTGATAGCAGTAGCAACTTCTTTGCTGCACTTTACGCCAAGACCGACATGGCCGTTTCCGTCACCGACGACCACGAAGGCCTTGAATCTGGTCCTCTGACCGGCACGAGTCTGTTTCTGTACAGGCATGATCTTCATCACCTCATCTTTCAAACCAGGGCCGACCAACTGGTCAACGATCTGGTGCTCCTTAATCGGGAGTGAATGGAGATAGATCTGCTCCAGGCTTCTGATCTTGCCTTCCTTCACTAGACGGCCAAGCTTCGTGACGGGAACCCATTTTTCCTCTTCGTCACGGCGAGGGGCGCGGCGCCGACCTCCACGAGGACCGCCGCGGCCGAATCCGCGTCCAAAGGAGCCACGATCACCACGATCGCCACCACCACGCTCTGCCATGGTAAAGTGTACAAGCTAGGGTTTAGGAAGAAAGAGAAGGTGCCGAATCGGATGGATTTAGAAACCCTAGAAATTGAAGAGGGGATCTATCTAAGACGCTAAGGTTTTCAATGGTGCGGAATTTGAGCCCACTTTATTGGGCCAGATATTTTAGCCCGGTCAAACGAAACAACAAAATTTTTTTTTTCTTTTGAACTAACAAAACTGCAAAAAATTAAAAACCAAAAACTATGCGAAAATAATAAAATAAGGAAGTTTTAATAAGATTATGTAAATAGTTTCTTATTTTTTTATTTAAATTGTGTTAAATTATAAAATTAAAACTTTTAAATTGAGGCACCTGACTTTTTGGTTCAAGTGGCCTTCGGACCACTTTAAAAGTGCAGTCCCTCTTCATCTGATGGATTCGAAATTTAAATCTCACCCTTGCTACTTTATTAAAAAAAAAAAACCTTTAAATTGAGAAAAAATATCTTAATAGGAATTTTTTCAATTAAAAGATGTTATTTTATAATTTAATATAGTTTAAATTTTAAAAATAATTTTTTATTATGCAAGATAAATAAAATTAAGAACCACTTTAGCTAACAGAAAAGATGTTTATTTTTTTTAATGGAAATACTAATGATTAAAAAGTTGAGATTTTATATTAAAAATTTTAAATTTTAAATTTGTGATAAATGAGGAGAAATCAAAACAATGAAGCTGTTATCTCTTTTTCTTTTTTAATTTTGTAATAGATTATTTTATTTACCAAAATTAAGTTTATTTAGTGATAAATAAATGTTATATTACAAGTTAAATTAATCGCAACTCATAACAGTAATATATATAGGAAATAGTGGGTATCAACCTTACCTCTTAAAAATTCAGAAAAAAATTATTTTAAAATTACGTCGTTTCAATAAAATTTTATTAAAAAATACTAAATTATCATATTTTTAAAACATATATTAAGATGATTTTTATTTTTTTCTTAATTTTTTAAAAATAAAGTAGATAAACACTAATTATATATATTTTTTATTGGTATTTTGGACGAAAGGATGTGGTTTAGTTTTTTATACACGCGAGGATAAATTCTTTTTGAAGTAGTCTTTACGAAGCATTCCACACCGTTCTAGACCCCAAGGGAAAATTATTTTCCTTAATATGACCCAATATTCAAATGAAAAATGTATCCTGTAGTTAGAACAGTTTTAAATTATATGATATTAATTATTAAATGAAGGTAAATTTTTTAATATTATGAATATTTTTATTTAATAATTTTATTTTATAATTTAATATAATTTAAATTATAAAATAAGAAATTCATAATCAAACTATGAATACATTTTAAAAATATATATTATACAATTTAAATTATATTAAATTATAAAATTAATGTTTATTCACCTTATCTCGTAAAGATTAAAAAGAAAATTATTCAAAAACTACGTAATTTTAATAAAGTATTACATGAAATAACAAAAAATACTCTATTTCATTGTTTAAAAATATGGTATTTTAGTTTTTTCAATAGAGATTTATTGAAACGATATAATTTTAGTATAATTTTTTTTCTAATATTTAGAAGATAAGGTGGATATGTACTATCTCCTTAAATTATACAATATTTATTATTAAATAAAATCTATTGATGCAATTCAAATTATAAAATAAAGAA